ATGCAGCAGGTGGTATAATTACAACTGACCTTCTCCCCATCATTGGCGGAGACGGGACATGACATTCAGGTGACCTTGTGGGTTCCCGGCTTCCAAGGGCGCCTGCATTTCAGTAGCAGTTGTGTGGAATATCACGTTGGATGGGACTGGTGTAGCCTGACACTCCTGCAGGGCCTGGCTGTAGAGTGCCCACGCAGAGACATCAGCCTTCCCTGGAGGAGCCCTAGACTCCTCCGGGCCAGCCCCGCCCTGCCCCTGGCGCTCGTCCGGCAGGCACAGAGACTGGAAGAGGCAGAAAGTGAGGGCTGGCTCCAGAGCAGCAGCAGATGCGCTCAGGGGCTCTGCCAGTGACTTCACTAATGGGTCGCGACACTAACGTGGAGCCCTGTTTGGGACTTTAGAAACGCGCAGAAGGAGCAAACTCGGGAAGGAGGAGTCAGCGGGTCTTGCCAAGAGCAAAGATTTCACAGGAACATACAAGAAGCCAAAGTACCCGCCAAAGGGCCAGGTACACGGTCGGCGTTAAAGCCAGGACTCCAGGGCTGTGTCTAGACTGGCAGGTTTTTCCACAAAATCAGCTGCTTATGCAGAAAAACTTGCCAGCTGCCTACACTGGCCGCTTGAATTTCCGCAAGGACACTGCCGATCTCATGTAAGATCGTCAGTGTTCTTGCGGAAATACTGTGCTGCTCCCGTTCGGGCAAAAGCCCCCTTGCACAAATCATTTGCGCAGGAGGGCCAGTGTAGCCAGCACAGGACTGTTTTGTGCAAAAAAGCCCCGATGGCTAAAATGGCGATGGGGCGTTTTTGCGCAAAAGCGCGTCTAGATTGGCATGGACGCTTTTCTGCAAAAAGTGCTTTTGAGGAAAAGCGTCCTGCCAATCTAGATGCTCTTTTCCGAAAATGCTTTTAACAGAAAACTTTTCCGGAAAATCATGCCAGGCTAGACGTAGCCCAGGTGGAGGCAAATGCTGACTGAGGAAGAAGGGTGATGCCCGTCTAAAGGCACAGGCTCTGGCTCAGCCCCTGCTTGGAAAGAGCCTGCTCACATGTCTACTGCCTAAAGCAGCCCTCTCTAGCTCGGTGATGGCTCTCCCCTGCCCCTGCCCGTCTCCCTCTGGGACAGGGCGCTATTTCAAGGCCCTCTCGACTCCATCATCAGTTTTCACTGGCACTTCAGCTGCCTAGAGCCCAGAGCCAGATATACGACTAGCTGTAAATCTGTCACTGCGAGCGCTGACATAAACACTTCATTATTGCTGGGCGAGATTCCAGTCCGCTGCCCACCATTAGAGGGGAACTTGAAGCCTAGTTTGTCAAAACTGGGTTAATTTTCATTCGCTGGCTGAAACAACCTGCTATCTTGGTTTGACCTAGAATTCACCTTATATGTTCTTCCAGCCTGGAGCTTCTCTTCCCATCTGGCAGAAACAGCAAGGTCTACATGTTCAATACACCTGCTTAGTCCCTCATCGGCTCAGCCTACGAAACAAGCCTATTTTTGACAGCTACAGCTCTTGGGGTGGATCTAATTCCAGTATGAGTCCAATGATGAGACAAAAGACTAGCATAACCAAGGCAATGTCTCTTGGGAGCAAAATCTGGAAAGAAAGCTTGAGCTCTGTAGTTTCTTTTCTGGTGCACAACGGGGATAACTGAGACTCAGATTTTCAAATAGGCTCTTGGCTGGTGGATCTAGCAACTGGCCCTTCTACGTTCCCATCTTTGAAACATACTGCCCCCTATTTGACCATCAGACTTTGAATGTACGTCCTTTGCAGGCCACGCTGGCTTGTTCACTCTCTATTTTGCCTAATGGGGAGGTTGTTGAGTTTTATTCTGTAGACGAAGTCTATGCTACCTGACGTCAGTCATGAGAAGACAGACGTGTTGTTTTGACTTGCTATCCATGCAGCTAAAGGCAGCCAATTTCATAACAAGCAAAATAAAGTTAGCAGTGAGCCGTGACCAGGAGAAAACCAAAACGAGCAGCATTATTCACTGCTGGAAACCTGTGCCCTGCATTCGATAAGTGACCAGTGTTGGCGCTTGATTAAAAGTGTGAAGTCCGACAGCCCGTGGCACTGACGCCCTCTGGGTGTTCACCCAAAGGTCTGGCATGGACGGGACCAGTCTCATTACTAACGTTCTCCTTGGGCTCTGCAGAGATTGTGGCCAACTGGACCGAGACAGTAAACAGTCTCAGAAACACTGGCGGGTTGGACGCAAGAACCGCCAGTCACTCTCCACCTAGCGGCCTCTGGAGCAGGAACGCAGAGGCCAAAGGCTCCTTATCCCCTCTGTGGAACACAAGCACCCGCGTGGCTGGACTTTGGTTACTGCTGTTCCCTTCCCTGGGACAGAGAGGACAAACTGTGGAGCTCCCCTCTCGTGCTAATGGCAAGGAGAGAATTTTTACAGTGCACAGCAGGCACCCCTGGTTGTATTTATAGCATCGGCATGCTGGCATACAGACCCCCAAGGAGAGCAACCGCCACTCTGCCTCAGTGCTAATGCAACAGCCACAAGTTAGACATGAAGTTAAAATTCTTCCTCCAAATTAAAGCTGTATGAAAATGAAGGGAGGAAATTGGGGTGGGTGAATTTACTGGAAAGACCCCCCTGGAGCTGTGGGTCAGGCCAACAGTGCTGATATCCATGCCATGAGTCAGACTGCCCTCTCCCACAAGAAAACCCATGGATCCTGCATGTGGGGAGCAAAGATTCCCTTTGGGGCGTATCCAGAACACTATGACAACTGCTTACAGCAATGCCAATTTGTACCTAACAGGTTCTGTTCAAGAAATGCTTCTCAAGCTACAGTGATGCATGAACAGGAGTGTTGTGAGCCAGACACGAGAAGTCATTCTTCCGCTCTCCTCTGCTGTGATCAGGCCTCAGTTGGAGTACTGTGTCCAGTTCTGGGCACCGCATTTCAGGAAAGATGTGGGGAAATTGGAAAAGGTCCAGAGAAGAGCAACAAAATGATTAAAGGGCCAGAAAACATGACCTATGAGGGAAGAGAGAAGGATTTGGGTTTGTTTAGTTTGGAAAGGAGCAGACTGAGAGGGGAACATCAGCGCCGTTTTCAGGTATCTAAAAGGATGTTGCAAGGAAGAGGGAGAAAAATTGTTCTCCTTGACCTCTGAGGACAGGACAAGAAGCAACGGGCTTAAATTGCAGCACGGGAGGGAGGTTTAGGTTTGACATTAAAACCCTTCCTAACGGTCCAGGTGGTGAAACACTGGAATACGTTGCCGGGGAGGTTGTGGAATCTCCATCGCTGGAGATATTTCAGAGCAGATAGACATCTCTCGGGCATTATGCAGAAGGTGCTTGGTCCTGCCGTGAGGGCGGGGGACTGGACTTAATCTCTCAAAGCCCCTTCTAGTTCTATGATTCTATACAAGTGGCTTTGGTGCATCCACAGTGACTATTTTACAAATGGGATGATCAGCCACTTCACAGTTCTTACAACACTCAGGCTTTAGTAATGAAATGTTCCCCTTACTTAGAGCAGCTTCACTGGCTATGGCAATAGCAGAGTCATACGCTTTTACAAGTCCTCAATGTTACGACTGTGGCAATGGCCCAGACTTAAAGATCATCCATTATCAGATACCAGAAGTCAACAACAGCTGTTCTTGAAAGTTCCCAGCTTTCTTGGCATGCAAGACAGTCTGACAGGGGAGAAGGGACATCAGCAGAGAGAGCAGCTGAATACTGCCACCGGAGGGCCCAAGCTTTCCCACTGGCACTGCTAGAATCAGCCACATTGGAAACATGGAAATCTTGCCAGGAAGAGATGCATCCCCATCAAGCTGAGGCTTCTTGTGTCTGCGGAGGTGGCTGTTCCCGACATTAACACTGGAATTACACTGAAGGCTTCTGGCTAACCAAAAAAGCAACAGCCTGCTGGTTTTGGCCCTGTGCTCATTCCTTGTGAAGTCAACAGTAGTTTTGCCAGGTATGGCAGTTTAAGCTATTGACAAATGCTTATTCAGGTTGTAACTAGGGATGTAAAAATTAAAAAGCCCACTAACCATGTAACTGTTTCAATTGCACTGTTACACGGTTAAACGCTCCATCGGCCACTGGCCCCGGGGGCTCCTGGAGGTGGGGGGGAGATAGGGAAGTTTCTGCTATTTTAATGGACCATGCACGTCCCAAAACAAAAACATGGAGGTGATGTTCAGAGGCACACTAAACAGTTGTGTCAAGCGCCCCAAGACAGCCCCAAAAAGTGCTGATTTATGGCATTAAGATGGTGAAGAAAAATACTAGTTTTGGGACAAATGAAAGGAAGCCAGATACACAGTGTTTCTAAACTACAAAACCAGGATGACAGTATTTCTTTACACTCTCAATTGCTACAAACACGTCTATAAACAAATCCAATCCATCATTCCACTGGACAGGCCAGAGTACTTCAAATATAGATCTTTGCCATTTTCAATCTACAGACGAGGTAAAACCAATAGCATCGACTTTAAACCAATATAATATGCCAGGGAATTTGCTGTTATCTGAATGATTAGGTCTCTCGATACACGCTGCATGAAATAATCTCACATTTCGGATATCCTCAACCACTGCCTCTCTTCAGTCAGACTATTTTAATCCATAAATAGCCAATCTGTCTGCTGCTGACAACTGGGATTTAAAATAGGATTTCTTAGTCAGCTGCTCAGAGCCTAGCTAACTGAAAAGGCAGCCGCAGTGGTGACTCACAGCAAGGGAAGCCGGGAGCATCTCTTGCTGCTTTGACAAGAAATGGGATACGGAGATCAAGTGCCTGTCTACTCCTCGGGCACCAGGGACTCAGCTATTAGAAATATCCCCTCTCCCTCCCCCCCAAGGAAAGACTCTGTTATCTCACAAGCAGGGTATTGGCAATGGAAGACGTATGTCCCTCCCTCAACAGCTGCGAGCAGAGAGTAAGAGCTTTGCAAAACTGCCACAAAACTCTCTCAGCCCAAGCACAAAAACCTGACTTCGTGTGATGAGAACAATGATTTATAATGTATAAAGGTAAAGGATTTGTTCCCAATGCCTTCCAATAATTACTCGCCTACAGCAAGGTGCATTTTATACAACAGCATCTTTCATATTTTTACACGTTAGGAGCCACTCCAAAGCAATAGGTATGATCACTGCACAGAAGGGCCAGGATATAATGGACATGATACCTGCACCAGGCAAGCATGGGTGTCAGCAGAGCATCTATATATGCTGGGCCAGATCCTCTGCTGGTTTAAATGGACACGAACACATTGAAGTCTAAGGAGTTTTGCAGACTTGTACCAGGTGAGGATCTGCTCCATTGTTTCTTACAATAATAATAATAAAAAAAATCCTAGTTACTTCTATTGCTTAGCACATTCCAGACTAAAGTGGATTTACCAGCGTCATACACAGACACATGGGAAACATCTATGGGCAATACTCACTGCATGGAGCACAGGGACAGCTGTTGGAGCTTGTTGAAAATAGCATAAGGGAGTGTGTGTGCATGTCCCCTCCAACCCACCACTCCTATTGAGTCCTATTGGAAATATATAAACCGAGTGCTGACACGGACATTCTTGGGTGGCCTCACTCCATTACCTGACCCCTGTGCTGGCTAGATGGATGCGTGGAATGTCCCGGCCCCTGGCCCATTTCACAAGCTGCGTCAGGTGCTTTGTGATGGTGATGGGCTTCTGCCTTTGCTGTTTTCGGCTCATGGTGGGTTTCCCTTTTTCTAGCATCTCTGTCATACAAGATGCTGGTTAGTTTCTCCAGGGATTTCTCCATCTCTTCTTCCGTGTATTCCAGATGTTTGCCGGGGCCACTGGAATAATAGGTAGCTGGTGCCGGGGTGCTTGGTGTTTCTGTAACTTTCTTTGCCGCCTCCAAATCGGGGTCACGCCTCATTAAAATAAGCACCAAGATAAGCAAGAAGAGGCACAAGTAGACAACCCACACTTCTTCCATCTCGGCACTTAGATACTAGAAGACAGGTGCCTTAGCTAGACCTTAGGGAGAAAGAGTGAGATGCCAACCACCACAAGGGTTCAATGCAAAAGACTCACTGTTTTCACTGTCCAAGGGAAAGTTCTATTAAGAAGATGATCCAATAATTAAAGCACCCTGCTAATTTACCTAGAAAAAAAATTCAAAAACAAACAGAAATGTAAAGTAACTTAGCTTAAAAAGCTTCCTTCAGATGGAAAATACCAAGAAAGAAAATAGCATAAGCAGTAAACAGACAATAAAACAGATACTTTCTTCAAGAGAGAAAAATAAAATTTCTTCTACCCCTTGAATAAAACAGTTTCAGTGGAAAGTTACAAGCTCATGTCTTGAAACAGCTCTTTAGAGTCCTGAAACATCCATTTTTTTATTTTTTATTGGTTTTTATTGGCTGAAGCCTCTTACAGGTGGGAATACCTTCAGGGGAAGAGTCTCTCAAAGAATCCTAGGGCAGGAACTTTGCAGCCAGAGTTTCTATGTGAAATCAAGTAGCCCAAGTCCAATTCTTCCTTAGTGTCTGAATATTAAGTCTTTTCTTTGATTATGTCTCAATCAAGTATTATTTCCTTTGCTCTTGTTTTAATTAAACATCAAGGCTTTTTTTGTTTGATTAAAAATAATTCAGGGTTCATTTTTCATTGAAGATACAAAATATTTTATCCCTCAGTGGTTGGTAAGTGCAGGTTCTTCTCCTCTCTTGACTGCTATTTAAAAAAAAAGATGAAATAAGCGTAGTGAATGCTACGCAAACTGTTACTTTAGATAAAGATCCGGGGCGCGGGGGTGTGACTTCAGGTGGCTTCTCTCTCCGCTGGCCCTGGGATGACGGAGGTGGTGGCTGGAACTCCAGATAATCCCAGCTGCACCCAGCTTTGCAGGGAGCCCAAGATCCTCTGCTGAGTGTTCTTCAATGTCTAAGCAGGGAGATGCTCTGCTGGCCTACCTGATCACTTCATGCACCGCAGTTCCCTCCTTCAACCAATCCGGGAAGAAGCAGAGGGACTGCCTGGCCAATCAGCTCTTAGCATTGGGTCTCACGCCCAAAATGGCACTGAGAAAAGGAGCTGTCAGCACTGGACCAATCAGGGAGCAGGGAAAGCTCTCGGGGACCTGACTGGAATGGGACTGCGTGCCAGACCCCTTGCTGGGATCTCATTACAGAGGAAAGTGCCAAGCCTGGAGGGGCGGGCTGAGCTCAGGCCTCAGCTGCCTTTGCCACACAACTCTCCTCAGCTCAACGACCGGCAAACCCAACTCAACTGCTTTGTTTCCAGCCCTGCTCCCTCAGCTGGAAGAGCACGCCGGCACTGCCGCCGGGCGCCGACTCAACACAGCGGCAGAGGCCCGCCCCCGGGTACCAGCAACTTCCTTGGGTGGCTTCTGGTGGGTGCAGAGCAGGGTGTGGCCGGGGTGAGTGGGGCCTGCAGCAGGGAGAGGAGGCTGGCCCGGGTCCTGAGCCCCCCTAGGGACCTCTCTGCTGGTGGCATCTGACTCCTATGATGAAAACCAACAGCGGGATCGCCATGGAGGAGAATTTGTCATTAGCTTGGACACATGCTGGGGCGGGGGGATCACAAATACCACGGCTTTCATTTATTATAGCGCAAGCTACTGCGCTGTACTTGGCATCCATGTCTGGTAGGTGCACGTCGAAAACATCCAGAACGCTCAGGAAATGGTATTTTATCATTAACAGCTCGATGAACTGTGATCGCCCGAAGATTTTTATTTCAGTCGGTCTCTGCTGGGCTCTTCCATGTTCTCTCACACCCACCCAAGCCCCGCCACGGAGCAGACTCGCTTCTGGGGAGAGAGAGCCAGGCACGGCCAGTCACTGGCTGCTCAAGAGGAAAGCTTCTTTTTCCAAGAGTGACTGTGCTTCCTGCACAGAGCTCCCACTCCCCATCTGGCCCGGAGAGCAACGAACCAAACTCAACTCCTGTCTTCTCTGGTGGTGCCAGGTGCTGCCCCATGAGCACTGGGCTGGCTTAGGTTCATCTGAAGGGTTCTCTTCTCAGGCTACACTCCAAGCGGCCCATGGTCTGTGGGTCCCCCACTCGGAGCAATGCTGCAGGGGATGTGACACCAACACTGACCAGCATCTGTGAACCCTCGAGCCACATGATCCATTCACGCCGAACACAGAAAACAACCATTCCATTGTGTAATGCACCAGTGCTTCTTCCTGCTGCCTCCTTCATTCACGCCCAGAAACCTGGATCCTCTTGTTAACATGCTTCTGACTGTACCTGTCTCCTCCTTCCCACCAGAACTGATTTGCGGTATTAGAAACAAAGGCGGGGACAAAATCTCCCTTTCACCAAAAGATTATCCCATGAAATGGCCATGAAGATAAAAGAAACGCAAGTCCACCTCTTTCCAGCCCGATCACTGGCAAAGGCACTTCCTTCAGGGGGCTGAGGCCAGCCACAGACTGAGCTGTTCCGTACACTTGATGTAAGGCAAGCTTTCCACCGTGAACCTGTGCACGCTTCCCACCGCACGACCCTTTTCCCCGCTCACTCCCTTTCACCCCTTCAGACATACAGGCGTTGGGAACCAAGCAAAGACAAGAGACGCTCAGGGGCTTTCCTAAAAGAAGTTAAAGCGGAATTCCTCTTGGCAAGCGGGGAATACGAACGAGCTTGTGCCAGAGGCCTGGGAGGGCTCTGCACGGCTGGGAGGGTGAGAAGGGGATCCAGCAGCGCTTGGGCTTTTCCGGGAAGCCTCTGAACGCCTCCTGAAGATGTGGCTGCTCCTTCTGCGGGCGTTCTCCCGCACCTCCGTGACCTCAGCAGACTTGGCAGCTTCCAGAGGGGAAGAGAAAGACAGAAAGAAAACCATGAAGGCTTCTCAGGCACCAGAATCCCATTCTCTAGGGCAGCCAGGCCACGGAGGGATCAATACTCCTGCTCCCTTTTGTCAGGCCTGGCCCTTGCGTCAGCCTGCCTCTTACCTGCCTGCATGAGCTTCAGCTGCTTCTGCCTCTCCTCCTCCATCTTCTTCCTGTAGTCTCCGAACATGGCTCGCATGACCTGGCGCTTCTTCGCCAGCACGGCCTTGTCACTGCGCAGGGTCTTGATGGCACGGTAAGCTTCTTCAGCTGAAGCATTGCAAAAGGGAGACAAGCACGCGCACACACACACACGCACATGCACGCACACACACATACACGCACGCACACACACACACACACAAAGTAAATGTCTTGCTTTG